TTTTCTGCCTTGTTCATTGCTGATTTTAGTACTTTTCCAACATCAATGTTGATATTCTGGGTTTTTCTTTTTGTTTTTGCTCATTTCTGATGGCTGAAAATGTTGATTTTCTCCCTGTAAAATTTGATGGAACTAACTACAATATGTGGAAGTTCCATTTTGATTTCTATGTTGAGAGAAAGGGACTTGAAGGTTACTTGAATGGGACTATATGTAAACCTGATGATGCTGAGGCTGATAGTAAAGTCTATACACAATGGAAGCTAGACAACGGAAAGTTAGTCTCCTAGATTTTGAGCTCCATTGTGCCTCACATTAGTGTTCCTATGAGAAGACCGAGGACTGCCTATGAGATGTATGCCTATTTGAAAAAGGTTTATCATCAGTCCAGTATGTCACGGCAACACATTAGAGAGGGTAAGACCGAAAGGAAGGGAGATAGTTCCTTGACCGGCTATGATGGAGAATGACCCATCAGCTAGTCTCACCTTATCTCTCCCAAAGAGGAGGTTATATGCCTAAAATAAAGTTGGCTTACCAGTCATGTGTTTTAAGGCTCCAGATTCAATTAACAAGGGGAATTAGATGTATGAAATGACACATGGAAAGCAATGGCAGTGTTATACCTAATGTAGATGCAAAGGAGGTAGGAGTAGGGCCAAAATCCATCTGACGAAGTGTCCTACCATATAATTCCAAGTGGTCACAAAAAGAGTTGATGATCTCTTCCTTGGGGTTAGAACCAGAGTGTTGCTCCTGGGGTACCATGGGACTAGTCTCTTGAGATGCCACATTTGTCAAGTTATATTTCTTCTGATTTTGCTGGGTTGGCTTCTTACCCAGATCAGATGTTGATTTCTTACTCAACTCTTGAGCCCATTTAGGCTTGCCATGGAGTTCTCAACATGTGTCTCTAGTGTGCCTGGACTTCTGATAGTGAGTGCACCAAAGCTTGTCTTTGTCATCCACTCTCTTCTGTGAATCACCCTTTTTAAAAGAGCCTCCAACATTTAAATTTGTACCTCTTCGGACTATTAGTGCAACCGGCTCCCACTCTGTACAATTCACCACACTTCTACTCTCTACAGACTAAACTAAGGCATAAACTTCCTGAACTAAAGGTAAGTTCTTACTTCCTACGATTTGTACCCTCATGGACTCATATGTAGGATTCAGGCCCCCCCCAAAAAAAAAAAAATAGCAAATACCCATTGTTGGGAAATAAGTGACTTGTAGGCCTTTGCATCTTCACCACGCTTCCAATTCACATTTTGATAATGATCCAATTCCTTCCAGATTGATGTCAAATCTGAGTAGTACACCGAGAGACTCCTCTCCCCCTGCTTGCAAGTGGAGGATACAGCGTATAATTGGTATATCTTTGCATAGTGCCTTTGCTTTGAATAGGTAGATTTGGTTTGTTCCCATATTTCACAAGCTGTTTCAGCCCACATAAATGTCTTCCTTACTTGTGGCAGCATGAAAACCAATAGCCATGACATCACCATACTATTTTCTTGGTCCCATTTGTCATGTTCAGCACCTTCAGTCCTTGGTTCCTTCACTTTACCATTAATATTGAAGGGATGAGAGATCCATCATATGGATAGCCGAACCCTGCACGAAGGTAGGGCAAAATTTCAAAAATTTCTCTCTCCCATGTGGGAATCACATTCCCTGTTTAGAAAACTACATTTTCAATGATCAGTCTTGAACCCTAAACCGAACCAGATCTAAAACAAAAAGGGTAGGAGAGGGAGATACCTGATACGGAGAAATAATAACTCCCAATGAAGGTGTTCACGCCCAAGGAGATCTCCAAAAACTACTCCCACTGAAGATGACATAGTGTAGGGTGGAGCAGAATCAGCAAGTGGTTCTTCACAAGAACCAAATCCTTCAGCAAGAATTCGATGGTGGGTATGTGAGCACGACTTCAAATCAGTTTTTCACCAAAAACTGATATCAAGAACCTTTCTTGATCGCTCCTACAGGTGGAGAACGAACTGGCAATGGCGGCAGCAGGAGGAGAAGACAAGAGCAGAAGATGGCGCAGTCTTACTGTTGCTTTTTTTCTCTCTTGTATCTGAGATCAAATTGAGTGAATGGAGGTCCGCCCTTCTCCTCCTTTTATAGTCTTAAAGGGAGCAGCTCCTAATCTCATTAGGAGTTTCCTAATTCAAATCCTTATTTGAATCTGGACTCTCTTTAAGAGATAAKGATAAACCCTTATCTTATCTGCAGACTAAGATCATCCCTCCTAATCTTATTAGGAGTTTCCTAATCCAAATCATTATTTAGATCTGGACTCTCTGAGTGGATAGGGATAACTCCCTATCCTATCTGCTGATCTAAATCCCAGAACCGCCCCTCTTTAATTAATCAAATCAAGCCAGTTCAATTTGGGCTTTAGGCCCATTAAGTCCATGTGCTCACTAACCTTCCAAACTGCTGCCCAGTTGGATTTCCTTGTATGGCGTGGGACCCAAGCATTGATCTACACATCAGCCACATGGGTTCAGCCCAGCCTCTGTTACAAGGC